TTCATCTAGTCATGGATTGAGAAATCAATCCTTGATATATTTGATAACAAACATTTATTATAATATAAGAATGAAAAAAAGATGTAGGTGTAAGGCAAAATCTTACTGGAACTATTATTTTTAGCAATTTATGATTTATTTTTTTATTTATGACTTTATCCATTTTCAATGATACTGATATTTTTAATTATTATTATCCAAATTATACTCATGCCTATATAAATTAATTTGATTGTGGCTATTTCTATGCTTAATTATTTTATTTACTTGCCATAGGTATGCACAGCATTTAATAAATTAATGATAATAATTAATAACACAATATTATAAGTGCATAAAATATAATAAATTAAAAGTACAATTTTTACAAACCTCATTGGTTATGGTGATGGGGATTCTTTAAAACTGAATGATCATGATCTAACAAGTCATGGATTGATGAATCACTGGAATCACACATTATCTTTAATAAATTTAATAACAACATGTACTACAATTTAAGAATGAGGAATATTTTGTAAAACATTAAATGAAAAAAAATTTAGTTTGAATCACTCATAATTAATAAATTTTAATTGAATTGCAAGGTAGCTTGGGGAGTTTGAAGCTTGAATTGAACAAATTACAAAATTGTTTATTTTATGAAATTGATTAATAAGTTGTTTAATATATTTATTTAATTTAGTATATTTTTTATTCCCAGACTTAAGCATTGTAAATAAAAATTTTAAAACCAATCAAGCAATAGAATTTAGGATCTTAGGAACAAGTGCTGTTAGTCTTAGTGTAATAGTAGTATGTAGTAGTGTAGTGGTCGGTAGTTTCTAGTAGTCTAATCTGTTAATGTTCGTTAGTGTTATCTGTTATTTATTTCAATTAGTAATTAGAATCAGTAGAGTTTAGTTTTAGCTTAATTATTAGAGTTTAGTAGTTTAATTACTAATTAGTCGTCGTTTAGTGTTGTTACAGTTAATGAGTTAAGTGTTGTTGGTGGTTCACAAAAAATTTTTTTTATTTAAAATGCAAAAAGATACTTAACCGTCATACAGCAATATCTATCCTAAAACAGCATCTAGTACCTTTTAAAACATTTTGAAATTTTAAATAAAAGCAATTTTCCGAAATTAGTAAATATACGATCGTAACTTTTGACTTGGGCGATAAAAAATCATTCTCCAATATCCCTCCGGAAGTAAGCTCCTTGTTCGACCGTCAAAAATGAGCGAAGGCCGTTATATTTATTCTAATTATATAAATATACTAGAATACCTCATTATGTATGTATTTTATTTTTCGTTCAATGCTAACATTGACATTCAAATGAACTTTTAAATGAATATTCAAACATTTATTTGTCCTGGGTATCACATAAAACTGCATCCACGCTGCCTTGCGTGCTTTTGAGCGAAAGGCTAGTCCCACTGCTTATAACTGGTGGTTGTCGTCAGGATGGGTGTCCGGATGTAAAAACTTTTCCCAAATTATTCCTATGCCATCACAAAGAAAAACAACGGCCCCTAGTCCCCAGCGGGCCTTAAGTGGTCAAGGGGTGCCAAGAATCCCTGGGAAGTATGCAATTGCAGAAAAATTCAGAATGACCCCTCTATGGTATTTAGACTTGGAACGCTCAATGTTGGATCACTGACTGGCCGCAGCATGGAAATCGCAGAAATGCTCGAGCGTAGAAGGATTGACATCTGCTGCCTTCAGGAAACCCGATGGAAATCGAATGGTGTCTGTCATGTCAACTCAGACAAAGAAAAATATAAACTATTCTGGAATGGTCAAAAGACGGCCAAAAATGGTGTTGGAATTTTTGTCAGAGAACCGCTAGCCCAAGAAGTACTGGATATTAGAAGGATTAATTCACGTCTTATGTGGATCAAGCTTCGCATAGAAAAGCAAACAATGATTATTTTTTCTGCATACGCACCACAGACAGGCGAATCATAAGAGATGAAAAATGACATCTGGACTGCATTCTCCGACACCGTCTCAACAATACCAAAATCTGATTGGAGGCGATCTCAATGGCCACGTTGGAGAGAAAACAGATGGTTTTGACAACGTACATGGCGGTTTTGGCTATGGAAAACGGAATGAAGATGGCAACCGCATTCTTGAGTTTGCTGAAAGTCACGGGTTTTGTTTACTGGACACATATTTTAGAAAGAGGTTGGAACATCTCATAACAAACAAAAGCGGACCATCAGCCACGCAAATTGATTTCTTCGCTGTCAAGCAACAGCACCGAAGGCTATTCAAAAACGTCAAGGTTATACCTGGCGAATCATGTGTCGCCCAACATAGACTTCTTGTGGCAGACCTGGTTGTCGAACTGTCAAAACGTAAGTCTAAACAAATGCCTCAGAAAATCAAAACGTGGAAGCTGAAAAGCAATATTCATCGAGAAAAATTTCAACAGATTGTCGCAACACATATGACCACCAATCACAAGCCAGTACAGATTGGAGTACATACAAAACCGTTTTGATGAACGCTGCAACTACAGTTTGTGGGGAAAACTGGTACAAAACGTCAGCATGAACGTGACACTTGGTGGTGGAATGGCAGTGTACAAAATGCAATAGCTGAAAAGAAAGTTGCATACAAGCAATGGCAAAAATCAAAGTCTGTTGATGACCATAAAATTTTCCGTGAGAAGAACAACTATGCAAGACGTCAAGTTGCACTGGCTCGGACAGATCAGTGCAGAGAGTGGCTCACTAAAAGCAAAGGTGAACAAATGAAATCTCTGTATCGTATAACAAAACAAGCAAAGCGTACGAAAAAAGACATAGTTGGTGCCTCATGTATAAAAAATGACAAAAATGAGATGGTTCTTGAACGCATTTGATCGAGTTCCCCGTGAAGCAATCAGGTGGAGTCTACGTCGACAACTCATTCCAGAATATCTTGTTCGACTTGTGATGGAAATGTATACGAATACTAAGACTCTTGTCAGCACAACGGTTGGAAACACAGATGCATTTGACATCGGCGTTGGAGTTCACCAAGGCTCGATTCTCAGTCAACTGTCATTTATAACTGTGATGGAAGAAATCACAAAACCGATACGCACTGGTGACATTTGGAATCTAGTATATGCTGATGATATCGTTTTAACAGCCACGTCTGAGCAGAATGCAGCACAGAAGTTTGAAGATTGGAACACCAGACTCGCCGATCATGGATTCAAAGTCAACATCAGCAAAACCAAGGCAATGAACACTGCAATGAACAAAGCAATCCAATCCACAGCTACTGGACGATGGCCCTGTTCAGTTTGTAAAGCTGGTGTAGGTAACAATTCAATCAAGTGTCAGCAGTGTGACCAGTGGGGTCACAAACGTTGTTCAAAAATAATCGGTTCTTTATCTAAAGTGTCCAATTTTGTTTGTCCTGCTTGCATCAATCCACAACAACAAATTCGAAATAGCACTGTTTTTGAAGCCATTAAAATAGAAAAAGTCACATCGTTTCAATATCAAGGGGATGTTCTGGATTGTACTGGAACAGCTGAAGATGCCGTTAGAGCACGCATACGTGCAGCCTGGAATAAATGGCATCTCCTTGCCGCTATATTGACTTTATAACAGTCGTGCTGGTTTAGATGATATAAAGGACGAATGCCGGCAACACCGTCTGCGGTGGTTAGGTCATGTCAAACAAAGTGGAAACAGTGCCATAACTTCTCTTGCAGATGTTGAAGTACCTGGCACACGTCCCAAAGGCCGTCCAAAGAAGTCCTGGTCGCAAACAATCGAGTAAGACATGAAAGCTCTAAATTTAAATGAAATGGATACAACTGATCGTCTAATTTGGCGCAAAAAGTTGATGGCAAAGAAAACAACGTTCTACCTCGGAAAACCGGGTCTCTGGACGCAAAACGAAGATTGATTGATTGAAACATTTATTCAAATGAATAATCAAACAAATAATCGCAGGTCAGGTACACACACATATTGATACACAAACTATAAAGAATATGAAATTAAATTTTAATCTATATATAAATAACGTATTAACGTACTAATTTAGATAAAAATACCTAACTTATTTTAAAATTGTCTCAACTCATTTATTAAAACAAAATAAACCATTATAAGCTATGAAAAATAAAAACAGTACATCACGTATACACACACGCGCGCACACACACACGCGCGCGCACACACACACACACACGCACACATACATACTAAGTAGATTCCTAAATGTGTTTATCTGCAACAGTTCAGAAATAAAAATAATAAAAGAATAATGATAAGATTAAAAACAATAGGATTAATAAAAAGATAAACAAGAGTAATAATTATAAAACAATTGCCACAATAGATTTAACATCAAAGAAGGAGTCCAGAGTTGCTGGCAATGTCATCAGGCATAGTAACCGGAGGTTCGTAAGAAGTTAAGAAGGTCGATTTTCTATTATAAAATCTGCTCTTTTGGCTCCTTTGAAGCATCTATAGCAATTATACATAGAAATAAAAGTATCTATAGCAGTTATGTTATACAACATGCAAATAAATTAAATTTATTTGTAAGATATTTTTAAATAGATTTTATTTTATCAAAATTTATTATATTTAGGGTTATGTTATTTGATGTATTTTATGAGTTAATATTAAAAAGAATGATTGTAAAACTGATACAAATATATTTAACAGATCCAAAAAAACATTTTTGTGCTGACTTCATGTACATTAAAATCTAAAAAATCAATTGAGTAAATGAAGACCTTTTTGAGGCCAGAAGCAGATGTCGGTTGTCTGCCTGGAATTGGCAAGCCCTGACTTGCCAGCTTCAAAAAATACTTCTGCACTCTACTGGCAACCTTGTTTCAAATTAAAATATTAAATAAGCAATTGGTGTCATTAAACTCATGCTCTAAAAAAAGCAATCCAACAATTATAAATAACATGGATAAAAAAAGTACCATCTTTACCTGTTGCGGTGTTCTCGTTTTTAATTCTTCGGCAATTTTAAACCACCTCCTAGATTCAAATCTTTCTGGGGGATACTTAACCAGAAGAGCGTCCAACAACCTCTGCTCCTCGGCTGACCATGGTTTGTTGAATGTTTGAGATAATGACTTGGATGCTTTCAATTGTCTTTTGTCATCAACCATTAATGATGGCTTGACTGTAGCAATTAGTTGGTAGATGTTCAACTTTAAATAATGGTTGGAAATTCAAATTTGTCAGCTGTCACTAATGTTCATTTAATATGTAAATTGAAATTTTAAATGAAATGACAGTTGATAGTTAACAGAACAGACATCAAATGCAGATTACGAACCGTCAAGGTCTGAGAGTGACAATTTCATCTTTGAATTATTTCTGCAGTTCATGACACTACTGTCAACATTTTGAAAAACTTTACTGGCACGATTTGTGTACTTACTCCAGTTAATATTTGGAATGTCTGCAATTTCAATTGGCAATGGGAATTTCAGACTCTTGTCTTTCTTTTGCAATTTGGTGACAAAAGAAATGGGGTCTTCTAGAGCTAATTTCTTCTTTTCAATTAGCATATTGAGATCTTTGCTGGCCTGCAAACGTTGACTTTGCAGTAGTGACAGGCAGCTGAGAAGAGCGTGATAGTCAGGATTATTTTTTAGAGCATAGTGACTAGTCTCGTAAAAATAAGAATTTAAATTTTCCGGAATGATGTCGGCGTTACATTCAGCTGGAGTCGGAAGAAGTTTATTCAAATCCGATATAATATCGACGCACTTTTCTTCACTCATTTCATAACATAAATGCCACTAAGATTAAATTAAGTATTTAATTAATTTAGTAGAAAACTAAGCGAGCGATATACAAGACAAAATTTAAAAGTGACATGTTTTGTTTTAGTAATACAAAGAACAAATTAAAATATTTAACTATATTTGTCTATGAAAGTAAAAAATTTTCAATAGAATTAATTGCTAGAAACGATTAAATACAAATTAATTTGAAAAAATACAATCGGATATTGAAAATTTAAATCCAATGCATTGTAATAAAAACATTAATGGCAAAAAAAACGGAGAAAAAAAGAACAAATTCGATCAGCTGATCAACCGAACGAAAGCATCCTGATAGATGCAACCAGCATCTTCAGCATCTTCATCCTCTTCAGCATCCTCTTCAGCATCCCATTAATTCAATGATGTTATGAGGATGCCATCTCCTCCCAGCCGCCCCAATTATCTTCAATTTCATTTCATGACTGAAATTAGGATATATATAATTTATATTATATTTTTGAAATCAAGTTTCGCTTCATTATAATACTAAAAAATAGTAAATAGTTATTTGATATTGTAATTGTTTGATATTTGTAACAGTTACATTATTTAACAATTGTGACATTGATTTGAATTGAATCTATGTTTTGAGTGTTTGTGTTAAATAGTTAATAAATAAAACTCTATTATATTATAATTATAATTTGTAACACCCCAACATAAATGCCAAATGCTGATGGCATGTATTGATTGACCATCTTATTCTCATGTATGTTAGAACCTGAAATTTAAAATGGACGAATGTTCGAGGATAAAAATTGTCACATTTCAGAAGAACTACGACGAGGCCCTTGTTTGTTTTGCTTTTTTCCCATTTTTTCTTTTTTTTCTTCATTTTTTAAAAACTTTGAATGATAAGATAAGTAATTTAAATGTTAGGGAATTACATTGAGAGTGAATGACGCAGGCCATTGCATTGTGGCTAGGATAATGCATGGAGGTCTTATACACCAGCAGGGTTTGTTTGGGAGAAAAAAATTTTTTTTCGTTCGTTATTTGTTAATCAGTAGTAAACTGTTTAATTAACCACGTTGTTTTATTAAATTTTGGTTCTTTAAAAAAATCAAAGCTGATAGAATTGTGTTGACATTAACTGTATTCTACTCATTAAATTTATAAAATTACTATATTGTTTAGTAGTAATATAAATATGATAAATCTGATGATATTGTTAAATTCAATTATAAAAATAGATTTTTATAACCATTATAATATAATTCCAAATAATATCAAACGAATATATAAATAACATATAATAAATATAATATATAAAAAATATATATATAATTATAATATAACAGGCATCTTACACATTGGAGACCACATCATGGAAGTTAATGATATGAATGTACAAGGGTTCACAGTTGATGTTCTACAAAGAATGCTTGTTAGCCTCTGTTTCTATTTAATTAAATTATTTTATTATTTAATAACTTTATTATTGAATAACCCAATTATGATTATCAAATTAACCTATTATCCAGTTAATTAATTAATTAATTAAATGCTAAATTCCGTAATATTTTTGTTGATTAATTAGAGAGATTTGTATGGCAGTATTACATTGAAGATTGTTCCTAGCTATAGGCCACCACAGAATCAATGCGAGGTTGGAAAGATTAATTTATGATTTATTTAAAAATTGTTACGAGCATGTGTGCGCGTGTGTATGTGTTTGTGTATGTGTTTGTTTGTTTGTGTGTGCGTGTGTGTAAGTGTGTGTGCGGTAAAAAAGTTTGCAGAACACTGATCTACACTTAATAGCAGTAACACTACATACAGTATTTGTATTTCTTGAGTTAACATCAGGATTCATGTGTATAATAATAGTTAACTCAGTATTATAATTTGTATAATTGGATTGATTGGATTGATTGATTGATTGATTGATTGATTGATTGATTGATTGATTGATTGATTGATTGATTGATTGATTGATTGATTGATTGATTGAATTGATTGATTGATTGATTGATTGATTGATTGAATTGATTGAATTGATTGATTGATTGATTGGATTGATTGATTGATATAATAATGTTGAGTATGTATGTTACCTATGGAAAGATATTTGTGAAAGCACTCTTCAACTACGATCCACTGCACGATGACCTGATTCCTTGCCCGCAAGCTGGCATTGCATTCAGTGTTGGGGATATTTTGCAAGTTATCAGGTTGGTTAGTTGATTGTTGTTGTTGTTGGTGATGGTGTTGTTGTGATCTGTTGTTGTTGTTGGTGGTGATGGTGTTGTGGTCTGTTGTTGTTGTTGATGGTGTTGTGATTGTGATTTGTTGTTGTTGTTGTTGATGATGGTGTTGTGATCTGTTGAGATCTGTTGTTGTTGGTGGTGGTGGCTATCTTGTTGTTTTGTTAATGTTTTTTTTTTGAACTTTTTTAGTAACTACAACTTCTTTAAAAAACGTTGATCATCTCAGCAAGGATGACCACAACTGGTGGCAAGCCCGTCACTGGTCCCCGCACTTTTACGACAGGGAAGATGGAGGGGGAGGAGATTGGGGGGGTGGTGCAGACCATCAGAGGGGCACGACATCTCGCAAAGCAAGCGCCATTCCCTCCTCTGAAACAACGAAACACAACAACAACTGCAACTTTTTCTTAGGCGACAACAACAACATCATCAACACAAACGTTAACTCGTTAGGCAGAAACTTCAGCAACTACAACAACAACAACAACAACATCAACAGTATGAACAGCAACATGTACACGTACAGGAGGGTCTACACTATTGATGACACTGCCAATGACGCGAGCAACGGTTGCGAGACAGACGTCAACCAGAGTTATGGCTTCAACAGATCTGATCTCATGAACGCAAAATTCGCCATGCTTAACTGCAAAGACAACATGGACGCCAACGATTGCGGCAGCAGTTACAAGGGGTTAAAGGTCAACAACAACATGGACTTTCCTGCGCCTGCATTTTCCTCGCCAACTTCATATTCGTCTCCATCTCCTTCACTGACCAGCTGCCAGCCGGCAGGACTGATTCCATCTTCAGAGCTGCAGGAGTGGAGGATGACGTGCGCGTCTATAGAGAAAAATAAAAAATGTACGTACGGGTCACAAGAGCAGTTGTGGAAAGTTATCTATTAATTGACTGAATGACTCTGAAAAACTCAATGACTAAAGATTGAATGGTTGAATAATTGAATGAATGAATAAATGAATGAATGGATGAAGGAATGAATAAATGAATGAATGAATAAATGAAGAATGATCATCGTTTCCCCTGATCTTCCAAATCAACTCCTCTCAGTCAACTGTTCTTGGTTTGGTTTGAAGCGCAAGTTGAACAGATGCAGCAACCCATCTTCCTCCTCCTCATCACGCCTTCTCGACCACCAGGAAGTCTTCACGTACGAAGAGGTTGTTAGAGTTCCATCATTCCATCGAAAGACACTCATCCTACTTGGTCAGTTCAGTTGCAGTCAGTCGGTCATTTTCATGGTCATCTTCGTCACTTTTGGATTATAATTGAATTGTTCTCAATTTTTGAACGGATTGTTATTGCATTACGTTTAGATTATTATTGTTGAGTTATGATTGGATTGTTATTTAATTTTGTTTTAGTTTTTTTAAATAAACGAAGATTGATTTTTTAAATAAATGTTGTGATTGAATTTTGGGATCTGCATTGTTTATATGTATGACAGTCGTTGTTTCGTAGTTGCTGTTGCAGCAGCTGTTGTCGGCTAACGTGCTGGTGTATCAATTTTATTTTCGGTGATCATTTTGAAATGCAGCCTATTCAGTTTTATGAGCAGTTGAAATTTGAAACATCCATAGATAATTTCATTATTTCAAATATCATTTTCATATCATATTCGTGATTGATGTGATATAAATTATTCCTTCATTTGTTCGGTGGGCGTGGCCAGGTGCACATGGGGTGGGCAGACGGCACATCAAGAACACCCTCATCCACATGTTCCCAAAGAGATTTGCATACCCCGTTCCACGTCCGTCACCACTGTTTTACTCATTCATAGATTTTTAAAATTCTTATAAAAGAACCATTTAACTCAGCCATATATTTATTAATGTTTTATTAATCATTTACCGTTTAATATTTAACGTTTAACAAACGAAACCCTAAACTTCGCGACTTAACATCATTTTTAAAAATACATCTCCACCCAGCAGACACCACAAGAACCCCAAAGAAAGATGAGGAACACGGAAGGACCTACTTCTTCATCACCCACGAGCAGATGATGGCCGACATAGCGGCCCACAAATACTTGGAGTATGGCACTCACGACGACAACATGTACGGTACCAAACTCGACACCATTCAACACATACACAAGCAGGGATTGGTTGCCATTCTGGACGTTGAACCTCAGGTATCTGTCTGTATATCTATTTTTTATTTATCTAATTATCCCCTTCTAGTTCTATATCTATCCATCATTTTATCCATCTCGATCTTTTTAGTTCGTTTAAGGTAGTGTAGTGCTATATAGTTATAAGGTTCTTGACTCTGCTGTTGCAATCATATTCTTCAACATATTCACATGCTCTCTACTTGTGTTTTGTTGGCCTCTTTGAAGGTTAATAAGTAAGAAATTAATCATTATCTAGTAAATTTACAACAATAAGGAAAAGATTAATCATTATCCAGTTGTAAATTTACAATAATAATAATCTTTAGAATAATATTGAATAATTAAAATAATAATTATAATATAATTAATATAATAATTATAATATAATTAATTGTGCACTCTCGATGCAAAGTTACTTGGCACAAAGAAGGATGTATGTTCAAGTCGATATAATACCACGCACTTTCTACTGCTACGATACTATTATTATTTTTTTTTTTTTAATATATTATTTTAATTATTTATAAGTTTAATTTACTTTTAATTAACTATTTTGATTTATCTGTCGGTGTGATTGATTTCTGATTTCTGATAAATGATTTCTTTTCATTTTTTTAGCGTTTTGAAAATTTTTTTATTTTCTCGTTATAATTTTGTTGGCTTATTACAATATTATTACCACTTTCGTGTCAAAATGCACGACTTTGAATGTATTTATCTTTCATTTTTCTTATAACACACATGTATACACGAGGACACATACATACACATATACATAGATATTCCGACATCATATTCATGCATATACAACACACGCATTCATACAAAAAAGAAACATACATAATAGAGTTTTACCTACACAAATACAAACTCACAAACATACATACAAACACACATGCTAGCACACAAACATTAAAGAACAAACACACACAAATACTTACACACATATATACAGACACACATACATAGAAGAACATACATAGAAATACAGATATGCACACAAACACACATACTGCATTCATACAGGCCATGAAAACTCTTCGAAATGTTGAATATTCACCGTACATTGTGTTCGTGGCACCCCCCAACCTATCACCATCATTTGATGTTTGTCGCTTCTCTTTTAGTATATTTAGTAGTGGTAGTTGTAGTGGTAGTAGTAGTAAAAGTAGTAGTTGTAGTGTCAATATTTATTATTGTTACATAAGATGATTAGCCTTAGTACATCAAGTTTAATAACGTATTATGATTATTAATAATTCTATAAAATGATTGGATAAATCATCAACCCTCTCATTTTTACTCCATATCTCACAACAGGAAGAAAATTTAGAGACAATGCTGACGGAGAGCGAAGAGTTAGAATCTCAATATGGATGTCTTTTCGATTTGAAGGTCGTCAACAATGACATTGACGTCACCATTCAAATCATCATCGACAGTCTAGACGAGGCTGAGACGCAACCTCAATGGGTGCCCATTACATGGGTCTATTAAGTTTTCTATGTCTATCCGTCTCTGTCTATGTCTATCCGTCTCTGTCTATGTCTATCCGTCTCAGTCTATGTCTATCCGTCTCGGTCTGACTATTTTTGCTCTTGGTTCTTTTGTTAGTTCGTTGGAATTTATGTTGGATGTGTTAATATACAATGGTGTATTTCTGTGTGTGTTGGTTTACGTGTGTGTGCGTGTGTTTGTGTGGTGTTTGTCGGCGTATGTGTGTGTTTATGGAATTAGCATCCAGCTTTGAAATGTAATTTCCAAACGACAACTACTTTATACTTTAACGAATTTCGTAAAATTTCAATTGAAATGAAGAAGACGATTCCAAGAAAGAATTTCTCAGTAAATTGACTCTTCCTTTTTCACAAATTAAAATGTTTTACATGTTGTAAAAGTGAACTTAAAATAAGAACATTCACGCCTGTATTTTATTGTTCATCATTTTTTACGCACACACCATTTTATACATGTTTAAAATTCTCTCGTTCACTGATATTTTTCATTCATTCACTCATTCATTCATTTATTCATTCATTCATTCTATTACTCATTCAACATTTATTTAATTAATCAATCATACATTCAACCAATCATTCATTCATTCAATCAATCATTCAACCAACTAACCAACCAATCATTCAACCAACCAGCCAACCAGTCAATCAATCAATCAATCCTTCAATCAATCCACCAAACGATCCTTTTATATTGCCCGGATGTTTAGTATTAATCCGTTTTAATAGCGTATGTAATAATATTGCACGTCAAACCTACCATATTTACATATATTTGTATTGTAATTTGTATTTGAGCCATAGTGCTTCTGTGTGTGCTCGTGTGTGTGCGTGCGTGTGTGTGTGTGGTGTGTGTGGTTTAAATATACATTTATATTTCATAACTGTGACGAAAATGATATCATGTCCTGGACTAACTGTATACATAATGAAATGATGATAATGTGATATAGTTTGTGTTTGCGAGTGCTGAAGTCGCAGATATTTTTGCGGCAGTCGTAGTTGGAATTTTTTGAGAAGCCGGAACTTAAACCGGATATTTTCCGTCTGACATGCATCCTGGAGTTAGGGACGTTTGGACGTCCCATGAGGATGGGACGTTTTTATGTAGATTTGTAAGGGTAGTGCGTAGTGTTTTATGACAATTTTTTTTTACTTTTGAAGTATTTTTCTTACTTTCTTAAACCTGTATGTGTGCGTGCGACTGTTTGTGTAAACATCTGTGTATGTGCATAGCGTGTGCGTGTGTGTATGGGCTATACTACCATTATTACTACTATTAATTAAATACTAACATTATTGTTATTAGTGGCAGTAACATTATTATTATTATTATTATCATCCGTAGTAGTGGTAGCAGTAAAGTAATTCTAAATTAAAGTGATATATGTTTTTTTATTTTTAAGATGGTTTACGTGTAGTATTTTTACACTACACTCGCACACACACACACACACACGCACACACACACACACACACACACACACACTGCTATACCTGGCTGGTATATTTCATGAAAAGAAATGCAGATCTAGTTTATATATTTATATATATATAAGTACAAAAGTACACATGTTATGCTAATGTTACTTACAATTGTGCTATTGCATTAACAGTCGTTGTTATTGTTGTTGACGTGTTACTATTGTAACTAGTGTATTGCTTAGTACTGTTACCATTACTACTACTACTACTACTACTACTACTACTACTACTACTACTACTACTACTACTACTACTACTACTTCTAAGTACTAGACTCGTATGGCGCATACAAATGTTTTTGTTGTCGTCGTATTGTATTTTTATATGTTTGTATTTACTTTTTTCGAGAACAAGGATGTTGTTGTAGTAGCTTTTTTTATTTCGTTGTTTTTGTTTACAATATTTTACTGTTTACGGACATTTTTGTTTTGGTTTGTACGCTTTTTATTGATTTATTTTTCATTTAATCAGTTTTATTCAAGTTAGATAAAATTATTTATTCAGATGAGTGCAGTTTTTTTTGGTGATGTCAAATTCAGCCAAACCTGCTTTCGAACCTGGTAACTGGGCAACCACCGTTTTTAATTTATTCAACACAGTTGCACTTAAACTTACTTTCAAGACTTTTATAACCCAATGAGTTAATTAAAAACTAGTCGTCGTTGATGCATTGTATTCATTTCATTATTAAAGCATCATTATTAATTAATATTTCAACATTATTTTTATTATTATTACGTAGGGTGTTTAGGTTGCGTTCATAATTTTTCCATGACATATATATATATATATATATATATATATATATATATATATATATATATATTATGTTTTTATGTTTTTTCATATAATTTTTCAACGGTGGCGTCATTTATTTGTTTTGTTTTTGTTTTGTTTTTAATTTTGTTGACACGGCTTGAACAAACATCAGCAATGATTTACGCCAATTTGACCACTTTAAAATAATACATACAATCATACACATGCATACATACAATCATACACATACATACATACACGCCTGCACATACATATGCATTCATACTCACATACATACACGCATGCATGCATACATACATACATACATACATACATACATACATACAACATGACATACATACATACATATATACATACACACACACATAACATACATTTTTAATAATATTAATACTTATGAACAAACACAAACATGTGTGCACTTTGTTTTTGAGAAAACATTTTTGATTTAAAGTGTATTTCTAATTATTTCTGAGTTTTATTTGGTTTTTCAGCATGTTATCATTCATTCATTATCTGCGCTATTTATTTTACTTTTAATTCGTTTGTTGTTTTTCTTATCTTTTTCTTATTAAAAAATTTTTTTGGACACGCTTTAATCACATCATCGTCAGTTTCATTGTAGCTTCACTGGCGTCATCGCTACGTCATCATCACTACGTCATCATCTCCAGGTCCCCATCGTCATCAGTGCCGTACCATCGTCACCGTCATCATCACTACGTCATCATCTCCAGGTCCCCATCGTCATCAGTGCCGTACCATCGTCACCGTCATCATCACTACGTCATCATCTCCAGGTCCCCATCGTCATCAGTGCCGTACCATCGTCACCGTCATCATCACTACGTCATCATCTCCAGGTCCCCATCGTCATCAGTGCCGTACCATCGTCACCGTCATCATCACTACGTCATCATCTCCAGGTCCCCATCGTCATCAGTGCCGTACCATCGTCACCGTCATCATCACTGCTCTATCATCATTTCACCATCATCATCATCGTCGTCGTCGTCATCTTTTTAAAATGTCACTTGTTATTTTTTATTCTGTTCATACGTTACTGTTTTTGTTATTGCCTTGGTTTCATTTTAACTACCTTCAATTTATTATTATTATTATTTGTTATTATTGTTGTTGTTGTTATTATTATTATACTTATTATTATTATCTGTTAAGCATGCACCTATTAAGTTTCGCTAATGCCATTGTCATACTTCTAAACGTGGTCGTCACTGTAATTATTATTATTATTATTATTTTACTTATTATTACTTCTTATCATTTCAATGATCATCATTATCACCACAAACACCAGCACTGATATCTTTATCTGTATTTATTCGTTTCACTATTTATTATTATTATTATTATTATAACTTTAGTATCAGATATTTATCGTGAGTATCATGATAGTTGATAATATCTATAATAATGATAATAATAATAATAATATTATTATTATTCATTATCATCTTGACAGAATCTCACCGTTGGTCTAAGAAGTTTTGTACATCCCAGCGTACCGTTATGAGTGAGCGACATGTCAAATTATAAAAACAGTAATAACAATAAATTTTGTTATTGTTGTTATAATTATTATTATTATTATTGTGGTAATTATCATTATTTTAGTTATTATTTTTTTTTATTGTTATTTGTATATGTTGTAACACCCCATATTTCGTAACAACGTATTTGTGAGCAACCAATTTTCTCACCGTTTTTTACTTTTCTTCAGTCGTTCTTCCGTTTGTTCGTTCATTCATTCGTTCGTTCATTCATTCGTTCGTTCATTCATTCATTCGTTCATTCATTCGTTCACTCGTCCATCTTTCGTTCACTACATTCAGTGTATTTTCATTGAGTAAGTAATACAATGATATATGAATAATGAGTTGTCTCATCGATGGTTAATAATATTAATATTGCTATTAGAGATATATAAACCAGTAGTTGTAGTAGTAGCAGATGTAGTAGTAGTAGTAGTAGTAGTAGTAGTAGTAGTAGTAGTAGTAGTAGTAGTAGTAGTAGTAGTAGTAGTAGTAGCAGTTAGGGCTGTTAACAATACTCAATACCGGCTTTAAAATAGAAATGTTTTATCGTCACGGACACCGACACTCATTTTTGAAACTATAGTCGGATCGGAATGCTCGTTCAAATTTTGAAAATTATCGCCTGTTAAATTTTGGCCTCTGTGGAAAATAACCAAGTAGGAAGTTGTATAGATCATTGCAAGTATGAGCAGCTCATGCCAGGAGATGTAGTGTTAGCTGTTGATGCCTGGCGCCTTGATTCAAATAGAAAGTGAATCTCAAGTAATTTAAGATATGACGATGTATGAATATGATAATGTACATTAAAATCGCGCGATTATGGTATGTTGTTCGTTGAAACCGAGAGTTATAAAACAATTGCATTGCATAGTCATGTTTCTATCTAACTGCATTATTAGGCTCATTTTAATTGGTGGAAGTGCTTATCAAAAAGATTACACCACATTTTAGGACATCAAAGCATGTACCTGGCACTCTTCTCAGAGCTTCAACTTTATAAAAAAAAATTGTTAAAAAAAGTTATGTACCTATATGCATTAGTTGTTTGGTAATGCGAGCCCGTAGGAGCTAACAGAACAGGTACGAATCGACGAGTGAATGTTCAATTGCACTTAATGTCAATCCTCATTGCTACGTCGCATTTGTTATAAAAAAATGCCTGAAAGCATTCGTCAAAGCAGCAAAACTCTAGTGTAAACAACGCAAATATACATGAATGATGATATGCATTTATTGTATGTATGTATCTATGTGTATAAGATATATATATATATAGGTACATGATATATATTTATTGTATGTATGTATGTGTATATATATATATATATATATATATATATATATATATATATATATATATATATATATATATATATATATATGGTACATGAGCATATATACGTATACAAAATATATTAAAACTAAATGTCATTTAACGAAATTGTTATATATATAATATATATATAATACATGCTATATATATATATCATATGATGTATGTATACATATTACACATCTAAATACGATATATAGGTCGTTTGAGTTTAATTACATATGTATATATAAGCCAGTCAATAACGACAAATAATTTAGAATCTTTAAAAGACCGGCCATTCAAGTGAACGGTGAACAATAGCTGCGAATAACTTTTAGTACCTTCGTTAAGGAGATTGTTAAAATATTAATATCGTAAATATTCCGTCGCTCGATTGCTAGGTTTTATTGTCGCCATTAGATTTTCATACATAATCATTTTAATTGCTTGTTATTGTCATTAATTGCTGATCTTAATGAAAGATTACGAAAGAACTCTGCAGTTTTCATCAGTGTCAATTCCCTTGCAGTCTCCGTGACCATGTAACGTTAATGATAATGCCCATACTCGCAACGAAACTGTTCATCTCATCATCTTCCTCCTCCTCTTCTTCCTCATCATCATCGTCATCTTCTCCATCACCATCGTCATCTTCTCCATCACCATCGTCATCCTTTCCATCGTCGATACAGCGTTTGTTCCTTCTTATCGCAATATTACTAACGCCAAATTTGGAGAGTCAATCGACCTGCCCAACCCTGGTCCCCCAATGCGCCTGCTCCGTGACGTACGGCACCACAAATGTCGTCTGCGAGGACCTCAGGAACCAGTTCGTTCCTGAGTTTGTGGCCACCTGGTCGTCCTACGGTCTGCTACAGTTCAGTTCCTGCTACGTGCAGGTAGTGCAAGACTATGCATTCAAAGGATTGTTTTTTGAAAGATTGGAATTGGGATACTCTGGGATCAAATTTCTGATGGATGAGTCGTTTGACGGATTGGAAAACACATTAACATACTTGAACCTAGAGCATAATCTCATTACGTCACTAGCTGTAGATGTTTTTAAGAACTTAACTCAGTTGTTTTATTTGAACTTGGCCAATAATTTATTATTTGGTTTGGAAAGAAATCATTTCAGCGGGTTAACATCACTGAACGTTCTCCAGCTACAAAACAACAGGTTGAACATGATCCTCGGTGACATGTTCACAGAGTTGCCATCCTTAGGTGAGATTTACCTGGCCAGCAACAACCTAACACGAATGGATGGGTTCATGTTCAGAATGAATCCTCTGCTCAGGACAGTGGATCTCAGCAACAACAGACAGAGTTACGATTTGTCTAGCAGGTAGGTTTTGTCTAGTATTAGGAAAAATTTTGTCAACCCTGGCCGTACTTTAATCAAATAATATTGACTGTACGATTCAATGCATTGTGACATCAATTCATAAAATTATTACAACATATTTTCACACGCTCTTTTTCAACGAAATGCAAGCCACGTGTGTTCGGCAGAGAAAGTTTATAATGAAAGAATTTTCAAAAAAAATTGTAAACAAACAAGCAAGCAAACAGACAGACAAACAATTAATTACAAACAATTAATTGTTGTTGCTGTTGTTGTAATAGTAGTTGTAACCACAAACATAGGTAAACGTGAATCAGAGTTTTCAAGAAAGAGGACAATAGCGAATTGCGTGGTAGAACTTTCATGAAACTTGCATAACAAACAATCACGCCGCTGTAGTTTGCAATAACACTAAATTATTATTATCATTCTTATTATTAATAAAAATATCACCGTTATTATTACGATTATTGCCAAAAAAATATTTTATTATTCTTATTATCACGAACGGCTTTAATGCAACAATTAAAAGGAGCTACAGAGATTCGTATGTTAGCGTGGTGATCATGTAAATAATAATAATAATAATAAAAATAATAATAATATTCTTCCTTGTGATTATTTCTTGCATTCTTTTTCCATCACGACTTTGCTTAATATAAACTTTATAAAATAACAACACTAGCATTAGTGAATATATGAATAAATTAATTCATGTGAACATATGAATAAATTAATTTATCTGTTGTTGCGCTGTTTGGGTTCAACTGATTATTATTCATAATATGCCATGGACATCTTCGGTGACGTCATGGTTGGGATGATTGGTTGGTAGGTGATACGTAATCTCTTCCAGGACAGAATAAATGCAAAGAATTATAACAATGGACGGATTGACCTCGTTGAATGCGCGTTCACAGTGTTACCATCAGTATTCATCATCATCATCTTCTTCTTCTTCTTCATCATCATCATTTTATGATCCTTTTAATAACAATTTCGTTATCATCTTCATTTTTATCATCGTTTATATTTTCTTACAGATTGTTCAATGACAACCCAGTCATATCTCGCCTAACATTACGAAATATGCAGCTGACATTCCTAGACCCCAACCTATTCACCAACCTAACTAAACTAACAACGTTGGATCTCTCCAACAACTTATTGAACGTATTTGATGCTAACGTGTTCAAAGATACCGGTCCCAGTTTATATTCGATCGATTTGTCGAATAATCTCATCGAGAATGTACCTGGTGGTTTGTTCTCCGCGTTACCGAAGTTGCGAATAGTTCGGTTACAGAACAACCAGTTGAACGGGACATTCGATTTTTCTCTATTTGATAGGAATCTTGCCACCATGACTGAGATAAACATTGCAGGTGATGTAGACATATAACGATGATGTCTTTTGGTTTGATGATGAAATGATGTAAGTGAATTTTTAAAAAATTTCAAAATGGTTTTCAACGGGAGTATCCATGAAAAATATTTTAACTTATAAGTTATATAAATATTTCATATCATGCTGACTCAATTTAGAAATTGAATATAATTAATTATTTTGGAGCTGAACGTTCAGTTATTTTAAAAATCATAAAAATCGAACGTACCAGGTAACAGCATAAGCAACTTGATTCAATCTACTCCAACCTTCATCAGACGGATAATGAACCTGAACGCCTCCTCCAATCAAATCTCATCTCCATCAATCAACACATTCAGCAACATCGCAATAACTCAAGCACTCGATCTTTCAGAAAACAAAATAGAAAAGATAGCATCTGGAACATTCGGAAACATGACGTCATTGAAGTTTCTTTACCTCCAAAACAACGCCATAACTTCGTTGAATTTAAGCTGGCTGTCCGGACTGACCTATCTCTCATCTCTTTACGTGTCTGACAATCTTATAACCAGCTTGGAGAAAGGATTCATGAATGCTCTTCCTCAGTTATCATTTTTGGATCTTTCCAGAAATTTTTTGACCTCCATTGCTGACAATGCTCTGGTCGGCCAAGCAAGTCAAAATTTGAAAACATTACGACTGAGCGGCAACCGTCTCAAAGATTTGAGTATGAATTCCTTCACATTCGCATCTTCGCTGGCCAACTTGCAATTGGACAGCAATCAGTTGTCAGGTGCTCTCCAGGACATCTTCATCTACATCATCCAACTCACGTCACTCGCTTTGCGCAACAACAGCATAACTTCCATTTCACCAATGTCCATTCAACGACTTACATCCTTACAAAATTTGGACTTGAGCGACAATAAATTAACTAAATTAGAACCCCAAACCTTCAACATAAACGGCAGACTATCCACTTTAAATCTATCAGGAAACTATCTCGAAGAGTCATCAGTAGAGACGTTAGCAGGCCTCAGCAGTTTGACTACTTTGGACATTTCCAGGAACAATGTACAAAAACTCGAACGATCAACAATTCAGACGATTCCTAATTTCGCCTTGCTGCGGATGGGTTCGAACCCACTGAAATGCAACGTTAACGATTGCTGGATGGATTATTTCTTCACAGTTTCATCTCCTCGAGTCAGCATTTTGCAAGATGAAAACAGCTGCCTATGTTCGATACCAACTGAAAGGAAGAACCTTTGGCTGAAATGTCACTACATACTCTCAAACTGTCAGGATTCATCGGCGTTCAACGATTACAAATGTACGCTGAACGATGGTCGCTACGTTGAAAACATCACATCATACAGCAGCACAATATTAAACACTATAACATCAACTGAACTAACTAAATCTGACGCTAACGTTGCGACTTCCGCTACTACAACTACTGTTGAACCATCCAGAGCAACTGCTTCAAATGGAAACGATCAGGGCTTAAAAACACCTACTACCATTACTGTGAACACCACATCTGCAACTACGACAACGACATCTATAACAACAACAACAACAACAACAACAACAACAACAACAACAACAACAACAACAACAACAATGACTTCAATCCTCTCTACAACAACCACTATAACCACTAGAGCATCTACAACAACAACGACAACCACCACAACCACGACAAAACCAACGACAACAACTACTACTACAGCCACTAGTACAACAACGACATCTACAACCACGACTTCAACTATAACAACAACAACCACAACTACATCTACAACCAAAACGACACCTACAACGATGACCCCAACTACTACAGCAATGCCGACAACTACAACTACTACCACAACAACAACCCCAACTACATCTACAACCAAAACGACATCTACAACCACGACTTCAACTACAACAACAACCACAACAACAACTACATCCACAACAACAACAACAACACCCACAACAACAACTACTACTACAACAATAACAACTACAACGACGACAACAACATCGAGAACGACATTCCTGAGAATGACTACAGCACGACATGCCGCTTCAACGACATTTACATTAACACTGATAGAAACAACGACAACCTCAACAACATCAACTAAAACAACTAAATTGATTTTCGCAACAACGCCAACTGCCGCGATGGAAGCCACAATGATCGAAACGAGCGTGATTCCTCTACTAACATATGACATACGCACGAACTTTCCACCACCAACGACACCATCATCGTCGTTATCACCATCACCATTATCATCCCCATTATCATCAACATTGTTATTGGCAACTACACCATCGTTATCACCAACGTTATTATCACCATTTTTATCTGAATTCCCATTCACCATAGAAACCTCAACAACTCCTACCTACGTAACGGTAACCAATCAGCCACAAGCTCCAAGGACCACTTATTTTTTTCAAATGATCATCACGTCCTACACGACAACGAGTACCGTCCCACCACAGCAGCCACAGCAGCAGCAGCAGCAACCACCGCAGACTACTTTCTTTCCGCTCTACTTTTATCGTCGTTCACGGCGGAAAAAATAATTCCATCATGAAAAAAGTGATTAGGCTTTTAATCGAAATGAAATAGTTAATGAATGATTAATTCATTGATTGATTGATTGATTGTTCGATTGATTGGTTGATTGATTGATTGGTCGATTGATTGATTGATTGATTGGATAAATTTAAATAACTGAATAGACTGATGAATGATTGACTGATTAAACAAAAAATAAATTAACAGATGAACAAATAAACGAACGAATGCGAAAATGAAAAAAAAACCAATGAATGAAGAACTGAACGAACGAACAGATGAATGAATGAAAGAATGGACTGATGAGATATTTGGAGAAAGACATAAGTGGTGGACTAGTAAACCTTCCTCATACACACATATACATGTACGCACACATAAACACCTACCACTACAATTCATTCCATCCAAAAACAACGCCATCTTGCTATTAAGCAAGAAAGAAATTTATTCTCACGAAACAATATTGTAATAATTATATCCAAAAATAAAACTAACATTTTATAACAAACAACATCGAAAATAACAAAAAGAATAAGAAAAATAAGGATATATATACATACATGTATATATATATATATATATAATAAAATGTATAATGTATATATAATAAAAATGAATATATATATATATATATAACGTGTATATAGAGATATCATGTGTGTGTGTGCTTGTATATATGTGTGTCCGCTCGTGTATGTGTGAAATGAGATTAGAGCGTAGCATATAATATTATATAATATATGAGTCATATGAACCGCACGCTCAATAGATGCAATAATTTAAGTAATTAATTTTACTTAAATTCAATTCCCAACATATTAAATGGAGAAGTTTTCAATAAATATTGTTATGTTGAGAGCGAATGGTAATCGCTTTTTTTTAGAAGTTTAAATTATCTTATTGCGTGAAATAAATTTGTTAAAAAAAACTTGTAAAAGTGCGGAAATAAGCGCATATATGCGGACATACATGTACATGTACACACACACACACACACACACACACACACACACACACACACACACACACACACACACACACACACACACACACACACACACACATACAAACAGTCAGACTGACAGACAAACAGTCAGACTGACAGACAAGCATACATATAAATACACATACGCACACAGCATATACATACACGTAGCATAATACGCGGGAACAAATATAAACGTAAAAAACAAGTGGACACGCACACATACAAACATACATACACACAAATACATACACACATAAAAATACAAATACAAACACATATAAAAATGTTCACGGATAAATAAATTTGAATTTTTAAAAAATACCTAAAAAATGAAGTTGATTAGCAACTTATTCATTCTATGGATTGATGGATAGGTAACAATAATTCAGTCAGACAGACCGACATGCAATCAGCCAGACAGACAGACAGACAGACAGACAAACAGACAGAAAACGTGTCAATGGTCTAAGCGAGGAGCAATCAATAGCTTCTTCTTAACGAATGCCGTCATCGGAATGAAGAAGAGGACAACTCCAATACCGAGCAAAAGAGTTTTAATCTGTCATTATCATTATTATTTATTATTATTATTATTATTCATAACCACCATATCATCATTATCATCACATCCTCATCATCATCATCATCATAATGATAAGAACCTCTTGTGCGGAACACGGCAGAAGGAATACTTTGATGCTGATGTGTTTATCATTGAATGTGCTGAGTGTCCAAGTAGGAAAGTCAACGCTGACCACCAAATCAGCTGTGAGTCAGTGAGTGAATGAATGGATGGATAGAATAAAAAAAAATGAGCCAACTGATAAACTGTAACAGATTTACATTCATACAAATGACCAATCAAATCTTGAGACCAAAAAATCAATCAAATCATCTGCCAATCAAATCAATTATTATCCATCAACCAATCAAATCAACTGCCCATCAACCAATCTAATCAACCGACCAATCACATACGTAACGAGATTTACGGAAAATTCATCATGGGGGAAAATTCATCGTGGGGTAAAATTCATGGTTTGAAAAAATTCATTGTGGGGTTAAATTCATTGTGATTGTTATTTATAAGGTATTGAGGACCGGAGCGGAAATATTTGTGAGGCCGTTTAATCTAAATCGAACCCGAAATAGTTTACCTAGATTATCGCTGATAGTTGGGGGTGACAAGCATGCGGTAGGTTCAATCCCTATCGTGCAATATAATACTAATTGCTAACTATCGTTTAATCGTTAAAATGCCGAAATCTATTCACTGTTCGGCCTATAATTCGCCAATTAATTGCCGAAACGGTCGTTACTAATATTGGCCGGATCGCTCGACACCCCTGCCTCAATTGTCTCGATACCCCTGCCTCAATTGTCAACTACGTGGCCATCAAGATTTCCTATTACCAACGAATCACCACCAAAATTGACTGTATTATATATATATATATATATATATATATATATATATATATATATATATATATTTCCCACGATGAATTTTCCCCCACGATAAATTTTCCCCAACAATGAATTTTCCCCCACGATGAATTTTCCGGACAACACGAAACGAACCATTGCTTTGCAGAACTGGATCTAAGAGGGGTGAACCAGTTCTAATGACATTGATATATAGGGACTTGCATTCTGGGACTCTCTTGTTGAGTTCCGTGTTGTTGAAACCGTTTGTCAGTATCTTCACTGGCTCCAGCGGATCCTGGATACACAAAATTAGATAGATGATAAACAGACGATGGATTTGATAGATAGATAAAAACCATACTAGTACTATTAAGAAATTGTTACAAATTCTATCATTATAAGCTTCAAACCACAAAACCATTTCGTAATGACTACATATCTAATGATATCATCACGCCATCAGCAGCACTAAGAACACTACTATCACAAACTTCACTTTCACCATCGTCATAAATACACCGACATAACCCTAATTCCCACATCGTCACCTCCACATCGTCACGACCGACCTTTTTACTACCCTTTTTGACGACTTCGCATTCCTTCTCATCCAGCGGCTTGCCAATGACGTGTGCGAACACGTAGTTATGGATCTGCGTGTAAAAGGGCTCTGCGTCCAAAGAATAACCAACAGAATTTGTGTAGAGTTAAAAAATAATTAATCATATAATTTCTCTCACACTTTCTTTTTATTTTCTTCTCTCTCTGTTTATCTCTTTTCGTTCTTCTCTCTCTCTCTCTTTCTTTTCCTCCTCCTCCTCTCTCTCTCTCTCTTTTCCTCCTCTCTCTCTCTCTCTCTCTCTTTTTCTCTTTTCATAAGTTAAAGAATAAATAAATCAATTGGAAAGAAAAAAAACAGCAGAGACCAACCTAATTCAACTTCCTGATAAATAAATCTATTTGTGAAGTACGATTTCCTTTCAGGGTCTGCAATAATAATAACAACAATAATAACAACAATAATAATAATATAATAATAACAATGAATCACTTTGCTTAATCAAAATACACTGACCCGATATGAACTCGAGAAAACGCTGTGGGACGATCGACTTGAACAACTCACATTCAGGATCTTGCGTGAAGCAATACAGGAGGTTAGCTATCTGTTTTGTTTATTTGTTTGCATGTTTGTTAGTATTTAGGTTTGTTTGTTTGTATGTTTTAGGTTAGCATATATGTGTATGATAAGTGTGTATTTCTTTTCACCGGTTTGTTTGTATTATCATTCGTTTGTTTGTTTGTTTGTATGTTTGCATGTTCGTACGTATGAATGCGTATGATGAGTGAGGATTTCTTTGCATTCGAAACTAGTTACTACAGCGCAAAACCAGATGGTTAGAAAATTAGCTTTCTGTTTGATGTTTCAAATTGTTTGCCAGTTGAACTCATAACTAATTGAAAAATCTAAACTAAACTCCATTGAAAATATTTATAAAAAGAGTCTTACTTTCTTTGAAGTTGACAAGCACTCACACACATTCACCAGTGCATAAATAAGCATGCAGACGTAAGAAGCCAGAAAAACACGTAGACATAAGCCCAAACACAGGGCGCACAAACGTAGAAATGTATACACACAGACACACAAACACAACAGAAACAAGCAAACAAAGAGACACACAAACACAACAGAAACAAACAAACAGATTGCAACCATTTTTTGATCAGCAGCCATGGTAGGGGCGCAGGCAGTTTTGCCAGTGACCTCTCTGAAGACGACGCACGCAACTGTGGTGGCCACTGAAGCCATGTACTGCACGTTTTCTGTAATCTACGCAGGTCAAGGTTGAATTGAAACATTTCTAACATCTATAAAAATGAACTTTCAATCACATTAGTGAACGTCTCAAAAATTTTCGCTCAACTAAGAAATCTAGAGACTAAGTCTGCTGTTAAAACTATAACATTTATGATGTAGAAAGTGGTGTATAGAACTAAGTAAAGAACAATATGAAAGGGACTATGCGCTTGTTAGAACTGCATAATGAAGGAGGAAGAAATAATAATTGGGCAAGCTACTACCTTGTTATACTTATCCAGCTCCGACCATTTCTTCTCATACCAGTTGTGTTGTTCAGGGGTATCGAGAAAACTGTTGTGGAAGCTAAGGTGTCGTGTGGTTCATTGGTCAGTTGATATGAATGGTCAGTTGGTCGGTTGATTGATTGATTGGATGGATGAATGGTCAGTCGGTTGATTGATTGGATGGATGAATGGTCAGTTGGTTGGATGGTTGGTCGGTTGATTGATTGATCGATTGGATGGATGAATGATTGGATGGTTGATTGGTTGTATTAGTAACATACATGATACAGACGTCACAAAGTAGGCATCATAAAAACAATAAAAATGAATAAATATATAAGAAGCAAATATACTTTAATCCAGTTTATAAAAAAAACTTGTAATTAATTCGAAACAACTTTTTATCCAATCATAAAAAACCTTCATCCAATTCAAAAAACAAAAACGTTTTATTCAATCCAAAAAACTTTTCACCAATTTGAAAAATCTTGTTATCCAATCAAAAATAACTTAATCCAACTCAACAAGCGACTTTCACGCAGTGAAGCACCAGCAGATCTTACAGATTGTCATAGGATTTGTCGTGATTAGCGACCACGAGACCGACGATAGACTGCTTCTTCTTGAGGAATGCGTGGATGGAAGATGGAGGCAGCTTGTTCATAGTTGACCTTCGAAGGACAACCCTCTTGTCCTGCTGCTCCGTCATGAACTTGTTGATCAGGGCAAGAACCTTAACGCAACATTACGACATGAATACATTAATATAAATAACTTGATGACCTAATTACGACATGAATACATTAGTATAAATAACTTGATGACCCAATTACATTAATACAACCTTATCTTTCGATTCCTCCGGATAGCTGATGTCACCGTGTATGTAGGCAACATCACTGAATGCTTCATTAATGTCGGCATCTGACTGATTGGCTGATTAATTAATTAATTAATCAATTAATTAATTATTACCATTGTTGACCAGCTAATTAATTAATTAAATGGTCGAATAATTGCTTGATTGATTAAAACATATTATATACCAGCCAAATTAACATGAGCAACAGAAAAAAAAACAAAATCAACCTATTTCATTTAAATAAGAACAATGCGAAAAAAATGTCAACAACAATAATAATATATCCATCATATTTATATTATTACTATTATAATTATTATTGAATAAAAAAGAACCCACTGGGAGTTGGGACGAACGGCCTCTCTTCTTTTGTCTCATTCGTCGCATTCGTAGGTGATGGCACAGGTGGACCAGTGAACTGTGCAATGGGTTTCCGCATCTCACCGGCAGACTTGATCAAGTCCTGGAGATTCGCACCGCGACCGACGTCACGTAGGGTTTTGTTCTTGGGTGGGAGGACGCTCCTGTAGACCTCGGGACGTCCCAAGTGACCCATCTCGATGATGGTGGAGATCTGTTCCAGGCTCAAGAACTTGTGAGCGTCTTTCATGAGGTCGTGCACAATCCTCGACGATCCCATGTACGTCAGTGATTCCTTCGAGTTCGGTGATTGGTCGCGTGGTCAGTTGCTCGGTTGTTGGTCATTTAGCATGCAATATGTCATTGGTCGGTTGGTCAGTTAGTAGAAAACATGTGATTGGTCGGTAGATAGGTCAGTTAGTTAGTTAGTAGACAATATGTGATGTGATTGGTAGGTTGGTCAGTTAGTAGACAATAACTGATTGGTTGGCTGAAGTTACAATAACTCAATGCACACGTACAAACACACACATATACAAACATACATATGTGCTTTCAGACACATCTGTTCATACGAATCTTCACATACGCATACAAACAAACACACCCTCATACAAACAAACCCCATTGAAGAGTGCAAACACAACAGGTTTACTCTTGAACTCAGCCTGATTCCCATCCACAACTTTGGAGAGTATGGAGGCTATGGCATAGAGGGTCACCAAACCTGTCACTGTACTTACTGCCCCTGGACTCCTTGTCTCAAACAGAGAAAGAGCGTCAAGCTGTGCGTGTGTGCGTAGCATGTGTGTATTTGTGTGTATAAGTATGTTTAAGGACGTATGAATGTTGTTATACGGGTATGTATGTATGTGAGTGTGTGTTTGTAGGCTTCCATCTTTGTGCATATCTGTTTGTATATATTTTTATATTTATACAACTGTGCATTGGATATATGTGTAGGCGTCCATGCAAGGTTTGTAGTACCTATATAGGTGTACACATTGTACACGTGCGAACGTTCCTAAGACTAGGTATAGATGTTTAAATGAGCGTAATTATGCATTCAGATGCACAAGCAACAGCATCAACAAACTACATTGAAAACAACATCGACAAAATACATCATTAACATCAACAACAGCAACAAACAACAGCAGCAACACCAACAGCAGCAACAAACAGCACCAACAAACATCGCCAACAACATCAACAAACAACGCCAACAACATCAACAAACAACGCCAACAACATCAACAAACAACGCCAACAACACCAACAAAATACACCACCAGCAACACCACCCACAACAACAGCAACAGCAATTCACCCTTGCCGCAATGATGGTGACTGAATCCTTGGGGAAGCCGCCCCATGGCGTCAGGGATGCCAGGTAGCTGTAGCCAGCTAGTGTGTCGCAGAAGCGATCTGATCCAATCGGAGATCACATTCGTTCGTGTTAATTTACAACTTATTTCAATTGGTTCATCTTTACTTGATTTGCATAATTAATTATATAAACATAAACATAAACATAAGGTATATAGTTTGTTTATTTATTTATTCATAAATTATTTAATTTACATTTATTTAATCGAACTATGAATTTATGGATTACTTTTTTGAATGTTGGGGATTTCGCTTAGTTAAGATTTACTCTTTTGGAATGCCCCGTTAAGTAACAAATTTATTGTTTGTTCATAATAAACGATAAATAATAAAAGCACACAAACTAAAGAACAAGCAAACAATAAACAACGGTACCATCGCACACATAACAGAACTAACAACTATAAGACTGCAACAAACACCAACAAACAAGCACACACATACCACACACACACACACACATACACACACACACACACAAACAAACACATAAACACACACACAGACAAGCAAACAAACAAAACAGCGCCACTAACCAACTAGCAAACAAAAAACAAACAAACAAACACACACACACCAGCAAACAAACACACAATCAAACAAACACACAAACAAACGCACACACACACACACAGAAACAAACAAACAAAACAGAGCCACTAACAGACGTTGAAGACATCGTTTGGCAGTAATTCCCGCCTCAGACAGACCCTACTGCTGGTATCTGCGTTCATCGCCATGTTCATCTTCACGGCACAGAGCGGGCAGGCCATGTAGCAACCACCCATCAGCCTCTTGTTGTGATTCAAGTAACACTGAATGGATGAATGAGTGAATGAGTGAGTGAATGAATGAATGAATGAATGAATGAATGAATAAATGAATGAGTGAACAAACTGCTGATTGTAAAAATGACAGAAACGAATGAATAAAGAAATTTTAAACAAAGTAACAAACTGATGATAATTTTAATGACCTAACAAACGCGAACAAACAAATGAATGAACAAACAACGACAAACAACAACGAAACTAACATCTCTCATAATTTTAACAGTTTCATTGTTATGAAGAAGAGCCATTGGGAATGGAATGTCCATGAACAGCAATCCATTTCCAACCATGTTCCAGTCAAAATTTCTTGTGTATATACCTTGCGAGTGTAGGAGTGAGTGAATGAATGAATGAATGAATGAATGAATGAGTGAAATAATGAGGAATAAAAAAAATGTGCAAATGAATGAATGAATGAACAAAAAATAAAGATAAGATAAAGATAAAAATAAAAATAAAGACTGAAAGATTGAATGAGCGAGTGTAAACACGATAGATGAATAAATGATAGGTGAACGACGAAACAAAAGAATGGATGAGTGAATGAATGAATGAAAAAAATACTTTGTTCGTAGTTAGGTGAGGAGAGGTCCGGGGAGAAGAAAGCGGTTTGGTGGGGAGTGGTGACATCGATCAAGACACCGACAATTTTTTCGATGTCTATGAACTCCTCTATAATTCGACTGGTCAACAACAACAACAATAACAATAATAATAATAATAAGAATGAAATAATAATAATAAACAAATACTAATACTAATTACATATTATTATTATCATTTCAATGAATAAAGACATTGATCAACATCGATCGTTAATTATTTCAACAATTTCATCGTTACTTCATCTTCTACAAGAAAAAATAGTCAAGACAAGAATATAAAAAATATGAATAACAACAAAACGAAAAACGCGTCAGAACTAATCAGCAAAATTAAATAAAAAACCACAAAACTAAAAAAACAAAAAATTTCTTTTTTCAAACCCAACAAACGCTTTTCAAAAAAAGAGAAAAACCTTTCCAGAAAATCCAATCCCATAAGGATGATGTAGTTCTTTTCATGTCCCGGCTGCCTCAACCAGTCCAAATCTTTTTCACTGGATACCGTCATAAGGACACCTGTATTACCTCCATAATCACCTGTATTTTTTGTTTCCCATTGGCTTCGAAATACTGCTAAATACCACCATTACATTAAAAAAATACTAAAATGCTACTTCTATTTCTACTGCTGCTGCTGCTGTCGCCGCCGCCACTACTACTACTGCTAGTACTACTTCTATTTCTACTACAGATAACAACAATAATTATAATTATAGTTTAGTTTGACAACAGCAATAGCCATAAAAAATTAAATATAGTAATAAAGAAATCTATTGCAATAACACAACCAACAAAAAGAAAACATAATTACTACAACAACAGCATAACTACACCAATATTAACATCAACAGCACTAAAACATTAACATCAACAACTTTATAACATTAAAAGCTACAACACTATAATACTAAAATTAACAACTCTATAACATTAACATCAGCAACACTATAACATTAACCGCAACAACTCTATAGCATTAACATAAACAACACTATAACATCAACGTCACTATAACATTAACATTAGCAACACAGTAACATTAACATTAACAACACTATAATATTAACATTAACACATTAACAACAACTGACCACTACATCCCATCTGGTCAGTAGAGTTCAGAAATTTCATACATATCGAGAAGTCATCCCTTTTCACATTGTAAACTATCACATCACTGATCAGTTCATGCCCTGGAGAGATATCAAAAATGTATATCCTACTGTTAAATTTTCATAATTAACAAAATATAAGATTTTTTTTCCTCCTCCAATTCAAGACAAGTTTCTTCATGCAATAAATAAAATTACAAATCGACATGTTTTTTTTTTTCAAATTTAGGTCTAAGCAATCCCAGTTTGAATCTTTCAAGATTATCTTTGGAAATTGAGTTATAATACAAATTTGAATGATTGAATGATGAACCTTTCTGAATGCGCACATACACACTCGCGCACAATAAAATACACACAACAAACCAAAGACACATAGACACACAGACAGAAACTAATATTGCACCCAAACCAAACATTTACAATATTTGCAATTAACATACATACACTTTTTTTTACAGATCAAGAAAAATTAACTTCCTAGAAAAAAATGACCAAACGTTAGGTTAGAGATTTTTAATCAGGAAAATAAAACAAAACTCGCCATGCTTCTCGGAGGCCTGTAAAGTAAACCCGACGAAAGAGAGAATTAGTACAACAGTTAACAAATTCATTCCGCGTTATTAAAAATAAATTCAGTTAGTTCACTTTTAACGAACTTAATTTTTAAACGAACCAGAGATGAAACACTCCAGTGTAAACAACAAAGACACGAAAATGCTATAACAGTTTTAGTATAGTTACTAAACTTTAATAATAACTGCATATATAAATTGAAATTTCAATAAGTTCAGCTTTTTTAAATCATTTTCTTAAGTTTATATTTTATCTTAGAAAAACAGTAATATAAATTTTAGTCATCATTATTTGGTATATGTATTTCAAAGAAATATTGCAGAACAGATACAGTAAATATAACAGTGTATAAGCTTGATAAGTAGCATTCTATATATATGGTTTAATTAATCAATGATCCTTTTTCATCTCTTAAGTTACTCTTTAGGCTGATTGTTCAGATCTAATCTGTAATGTCAAATGTTAACACGTCTTCCGAATTTACTTTAAATGTCTCTATATCATTTATTACAATTTAATCAGTCTTTGATTTCTAAACTACCTATTTTGTTTTAATCTAATTTATGTACTTTTTGCTTTAGAAGCTGTTTTTATGATTTAATTTCTCTTCCCAACGGATTCCTGTACTTTCTGTAGCACTCCATTTCAACTACTTCTAATCTGTACACCTTTCTGTTATTTGCTGCCCAAGTTTGTCATGCATAGGTTAGAACCATAGAACGGTGTGGAAGCACACTAGTTTCAATCCTATTCAACTTCACTTCATCCATATACTTATGATTTATCAGAAAAATTGACAACATTTCGAATATCTCTGATCAGCGCAAACATTTTTCGAGCAATATCCATTTTGTCAACCTCTTTCCAGCAGCTGTCGTCTCTTGTTATAAGAATGGCTATAGATAACATTGTTTTTGTTTTGTTTAATTTTTATATACAAATATGCAAATTTTTTCATTATCGTTTATAGAGTGCAAACTATCTGAACTGGACGCTAACGGATCACAAATCATGAAACTCTTCACATTTCTGCAGCTGATATTATTTTTTTATTGTTAGATCTTTTCATCAATCATCATCTTTTACAATCTAACAATACTTACAAATTTAGACCGATGTCATCACCATTTTTGACTTAATAGTCGAAATTCCTCTTAACATATCACCAATTTTTTCAGCATTCCCATAGAAAACCGCCTTTCTGCATCCATTTGACATACATTAATTGATTATTCAATTTTCTAAAATGGAAATAAGTGCTAATTCAATGTTTCTACAACAAAATGATTGATAAACAGTTGAATAATCTGTAAAAGCTAACAACTGGTCATCAGGTCCCGTCGAGTCAAATTAATTCCAAAAGAGTGTTGAAAAAGTAGGTTGTTCGCCGATTGCATTTTAATGTTTCCATGTGTTGTCTCAATTCTAATTTATTTTTATCCATATCTCAACTTTTATAAATATAATACTGTCATTATTATAAGGTATTATTATGTAAAATAATATCCAAACATTAAAGTGCGTGGTAGTGTTACACCTATAAACCATGCATAGTTCAGTTCCTAGCTTAAATTGCAAATGCTTAATTTATGGCCTGGCCTATATAACCTCTTCTGTCTGTGTGTGTTTCAGTGTATGTATGTATGAGTGTATGTGCTTGTGTGTTATATCCTTATTAGCACACACACACACACATTCACGCACATGCACAAACATTTATTTGTAAGTGATGTACTGTACGTGCATGTAGTTCACGCGCATGATTAACTCCATCACCCTATTTTTTTCTTTCTATCTTCCCCACTCTCTCTCTCTCTCTCTCTCTCTCTCTCTTTTCTTTATCTTTCTATCTCTTTTTCTCTCTTTTTTTCTCTTTCTCTCTCTCCCTCTCTCTCTCTATCTATCTACCTATCTCTTTATTAGTTATAACCTTTTTGAAATATATACATATAATAGAAGATAGAATACAATGTATTTCTTCAGTTATTGAGTTCATTTAAAAAAAAATAAAAAGATAAAATGTTGTTACGTAACAAACATGTTTCATGCACGCATATATATAAAGACACAAATACACCACATACAACACACACTCACACATTTATATATTATATATATATATATATATATATATATATATATATACACATATAAATACATACAAGCAATTATCAAATGTACACACACACACACATACATATATTATATACCAACCAACCAACATACAAATATACCACACATGCTTAACGTACATACACACATTCATACATCAGCGTTCATTTAAAATCTCTTCTTGAAAATAAAATAACAACAACCATAGTTTAAAGCTGGCATATGGATGGAATGACTGGATGAATGCAGTAAAAATAATAAGAATAACAAAAATAATAAGAAAAAAATTAGAAATACATGCATGCATGCATGCATACAACTTGTTTAAATAGAGATGCTAGTAATGTAAACAAGCGATTGTTTATAAAGTTTAATTTCTATCATTAAGTTAGCTCTCAATGTTTATCTTATTTGATACAACTCTATCTAACTATTAATTATAATGTTCGGAGGATGATAACTTATTGGGTAAACATTTCAACGCCGAGTTAAAATTTTTTTATTTGAGTATACCTGCAGCTCAGACTGCGGTAGAGGTGGCCTGGTGACTCCGTGTTGTTGAAACTTTCAAATGTTTTAAACCGCTGCTCATTAAAGTAAGTTTGAGTATTTTGTTTTAATAATTTTTTGTATTTTTATTAATCATAATTACGAATAATTATTTTTTTATCATCAATAATTTTCGTCTTATGTATACTCATGCTTAAATGAATCAAATTTGAAACAAAATCATTAGGAGAATTAAATGTTTAAAAAAATTAATTAATTAAGAAGTATTTTGAAAATATTAAAAACTTTGATGAAATGTTGTTGAAAATAAATACGACTACAGCGTCATCAACAAGGGTTATTAATATTTTATTATTGATATAATATAATTCTAACTCTAAACGAAGAGACAGTTTGTTGAAGATTTTCAATTATTTAAAAAGCACTCTGGCATGGTACAAGAATTATTTATCCTTTTTGGTCTTCCAATCATCCTTTTTTGACCGATTAATCTGCATCAGAATTTGAATACATAAATAAAACATTAATCTATATAAAATGTATCACAAACATATATAATTAGTATGTATAAATAGAGATATATATTATATTTATATCAATTGATGGGTATATATTATTTCATATGTGTGTGTTAGTGTTTGTATTTATTTGCGTGCGTGTGTCTATATGTGTGTTTGTTTGTGTGTGTGTGTGTGGTGTGTGGTAAGTGTGTGTGAGTGTGTGATAAGTGTGTGCGCGTGTGTGAGTGTGTGAGTGTGTGATGTTTGTGTGTGTGTGTGCGTGGTGTGTGCGTGTGTATGTGGTAGAAAAAGAACTGGTTTATGGAGATTCCTAAGATTTTCGCGCGTCGTAAAACACTGGCCATTGTAAATAATAGGATGATTATACCGTTGATGATGACGACGACGATGATGATGATGATGGACTGGATAGTTTAACAACAATGAAGATGATGATAATGAGGAATGATGACGACAATGATGAGGATGATGATTATGAGGAGGAATGATGACGAAAATGATGGGGATGATGATGATGAGGAGGAGGAATGGTGATGATAATGGTGATGATGACGACGATGGTGATAATGATAGATGAAGATGACAATTACGATGATGATGATAATGATAGATGAAGATGACAGTTACGATGATGACGATGATGATGATAATGATAGATGAAGATGACGAGAATGATAATGACCAGAGTGATGATGACGATGAGGCTGATGACGAAGATCATACTTCTTCTTTTGGATATCTTTTATATATTTTTATTATTTTTTTCGTATATTATTTTTAAATTTTTATTATCATTATTGCGTTGCTGTTTTAATAAAAATGCAGTCACGTAGAACCCATGGTCCTTATCAGGTATAATAAGGTTAGGTTGGGTTGGTGATATGATATGATATGATGATGTAAGGAACGAAGGAATGAAGAACTGTTCATCCAGTGATGAATTTCTATTATTATTTTTTATTATTATTTTTTTTATTATTATTATTCTAATCATTATTGTTATTTTTTTCATTATTATTATTCTTTTATTATTATTATTCTTCTTATAATTTTTGTTGTTGCTGTTGTTGGCATTTTTTGAATGATGTTTGTAATGATGTTTGTGATGATTTAGTTGACGATGATGATATGGTGATGGCAATTTTACTTAGTAACATTTTAATGATGGTGAAGATGATGATTTGACGATAATGATGGCAATAATAATAATAACTGTGATAATGATGATGATGACGTCACGTTGGGATTTTACGTGGCTACGATGTTGACGATGGTCGTGAAATTGATGATGACGATGATGATGACGACGTTGACGATGGTATCGACTTTATTATTCGTTAAAAGAAAATGATAACAAAATGATGAGGACGATGAGGATGACGAAGATGATGACGATGATGATGTTTGTTACTTTCAGTTCGATAAACTTTTCCTTGCTTGCTTACACTGCATCGTCCACTATAATCTTGAAATGAAATGTTGTTTATTATTATTATTAATTGCTATTATTATTAATATTATTATTATTAATGTTATTATTGTTGTTATTATTAATGTAATTATTGTTATTTTGATTTTTTTGTGTGTGTTAGTGTTGACGTTCTTGTCACCCTTCATCTTCTTCTTCTTCATCTTCTTCCTCTTCTTCTTGTTACTATGTATGTAGTTCTTGTTCTTGTTGTTGTCATTATTATTCTTTTTCAATTTTTTTATTTATGCAATGACGCCTAAACTCGAGGGCGACGACCTGGAAGAGAGCTTCTTTTAAAAAAAATTATTTCCTTTAAAGGGTAAACAAAAACGCTCGGCTGGCTGGTCATAAAAATATGAGTAAGTAATGAAAATAATAATTAATAATAAAAATAATACTAACAATTATAGTAATAATAACAACAGTAATAATAATAATGGAAACTTCTTTTGTTTGAAAAAATTGACATTATTAACTGAAAATGAAAAGAAGATCAATTTTTTAATAAGAGAAGAGAAAATTGGTAATGATTTAATTTACGTCATTATGAAGATTCATAAAATGTTTATTTGGTAGCTCCATACGAACCATCTAGTCATAAGTTGTTCCTATTGCAATACATGCCAAACTTTTGAATTATAGCGTTTCTCGTAAATTTATTGAGCGTATCATCTGGCAGATTGCAAAAAAAATAACCACATTTCAACTACTAAAAAGTGTTAAAAATTGGGTTTTGTGGAGGTCGATGGTCGCCAATGTCCTGAAAGGACAAGGCACGAGAAAGAAAGAAAAAGAAGACATCTGGCAAAGGTTATCATCAGTTCTTGAAGTCGGAGACGAAGCCAAGCGTAGATGCTTGCCAGGATAAGATTTTGACAATGAAATCTTCATAATTCTTGAGTAGTTTGACATTTAAATCTTTGTATTTGCTGAATTTGCATTGTTTGCATTCTACAAGATTAGTCTCGTGGCAGTTTGCGAGTTCTAGTACGTACACTGTTCAATTTTCCATTATGCAGATGTCCGGGCGAAAGGATGCTTCGAAAATATCATAGACGATGTCGACAATGAAACTGATTACAAATGATGATACAAAAAGATACAAATGATGATTCAAAATAATACAGGCGATGATACAAATGATACAGGCGATAATACAAAATGATACAGGCGATGATACAAAAAATACAGGTGATGATAAAAAAATACAAATAATAGCAATGCTGATGATGACGAGAATCACCATCATCTACGTGATAAAAAATGATGACGACGACGACGATGATTATAATAGCAAAGATTAAAATCAGTGATGACACCTATGATTAATAAAATAAGACAAATAAACTGCAGAAAAAAATACAATGGAAATAAAAGTTATAACATGGAAGTTATCCTAAAAGATATAAAGCAATCAGTTATCTGGCATCAGCAAATAATAAAAACGGTTTGCAATTGTGAGAGAAGAAAGAAGAAAATATAAACCAAAAATAATAATAATAATTCTTTGTTTCCGGTCTGTAAGAATGTAAACAAAAATATTATTTCTTTGTTTCCGGAATAAAAAATATAAATAATAACATTTTTTTTTATTTTTGGAATAACAACCACAATAATAATAATTAAATATTAATAATTAATAATTATACTGAAAATATGAACGACTAGGCAATAAATAAATAGTTGATCGATAGAAATCAAATTATCGATCAAAAATAGCGCATATATAAACTACGATGTGTTTATTTGGTATGCTGGATTAATTAAGCGGATAGATTTATGAATATGCATAGCTCACAGGAATACGCACGCACACAAACACACGCACACACAAACAAACACACACATGTTTACCTATTATAAACATACACACACATATATACACACACACACATACACAGACGAATCTAAAATGTTATTGGTATTGTGAGAGCATCAGAAAATATATCCTTTACTACAAAAATATGTTAAAGTAACAAGCAACAACAACAATATAAAAACACAAAAACATACTGAAACAACAAAACACACTGCATTACATTACATTACATCTTACTGAAGAATCATACAACAACAAAAAGACAACAACAAACAACAACACCAACAACAAAACAGACGTGAAAAAAACAACAAAATCACATTTGTGATACAAAAAAAGAATAAAACAACAAATACAACAACAAAAAAGCCAAACAAAAAAAAACATAATCATCATCAACAACAACAACAATAATAACAAACAAATTTTTACAAGTTAAACACTAACATACATACGGCTTCATCAAGATGAAACTGATGTTATCAAACGCAATCAAACGTACACACACACACACACACACACACACACACACACACACACACACACACATACAAACACACATACACACACACATGCATACACACATATGCATAAAAAAATACACACACATACATACACACATACACACACATACATACATATATACACACACACACCTATCTACATCGTTTAGCCATATCCTCGAATCATCCGTTTATCCATACCTATATTTTGTTATCCACTTATCCATCTGTTAATTCATCATCTATCTATCCAATTATTCAACAATTCATTCATTCATTCATCCATCCATTTAAACGTCCTTCCATCTATCCGGCAATTGAGGCAAAAAACATTAACACACACAAGAGACATGCAAGTGTACAAACCAAATGAGGTTCATGGAAAACTTGCAACAAAGAAACAAGCAAACAAACAAAACAAACAAACAAAAAAGCTAACATGCAAACATTTAATTAAACAAATCTAGGATACAAACTTCTAAATGGATATAAACGAACAAACAAATGAACGAACGAACGAAACAAATGAACAAAATAAGCAAAGAGACAACCAACCAAACGAAAACAATCAAACAAAAATGCCACAGCAAATCCCTGAAAGTATTTCAAACATCCACACACATTTTTAGATGCCATCAGAATTAACCTATATTCATTCCTTCCATGCGCCAGCGTACGTTCGTCTGTCTGCACTTTCATACGTTCGCGTACCTATCTCTATGTATTGCTACGTATTTCTAGGTGTCATTGCCTGTATGTCTTTCTATATTTTTGCCTATCTGTGCTGTACTCTAGTCTTTGCATGTATTGAACAAAAAATTTTCCTACAATGTATGCGAAGTACTCGCATACTTACATTTGTATGTATGCATTGGGAGCAGTAATTTATTACACGTGTTTCGTATAAAGTAATTTGTATAAACATCTCTAATGTATGTTTTATATCTGTTCGTTTGTCTGTAGTTCATCTAGTAGGTTTTTATACCTGGGATTTCTTTAAATAAACAGTAAGAGAACACTTGTGCAATAAAACACGCATACACACACAATCCCACACGCAAATACACACACACACACACACACACGCATTTAAAGAGGCATAAAAACCTACACGCACATATAATAAAATTATAATCACCTACAAACATAAACAGATACGAACCGCCATAAACACATATACTAATATAAACACGCACGCACGCACCAACATAAACACACACACAACACACATTGCACAATTTTGAAAGAAGTATAAATTACGGCGAAACTCCGGGCGGGCCATTCTCAGTAGAGTTCACTTCATTTTGACGTTAGTGAACTGGGAAGAATTATTTAAATGTAATAATAACAATATACTAAATACAAATAATAATAATAATAATGACGATACAAACAATGATACTTAGATTTGTTAACAAAATAAAACTAAAAAATGTTGAAAAGTTAAGGATGAAATGTCTGACAAGGCCATAAAATCATAGCAAAACAGACAGACCACAAACTCATACAAACTAAATCATACAAACAAATAAGTGCAGATGCCTTGCTGTATTCTATATTATTCTATATCAACAACATCAATAAATACATTAACAACAACAACAACGACAACAACAACAACGATACGACAACCAAGACACTAACAACATCAACAACAGCAACGTACAAAATTTCAAAAGTTAATTGTGAACGATCTCAGAGCTCAGGCTTATTATTGTTGCTCCATGCTAGGCGCCGATCATTTAGTCTTTATGCATTCTTTACCCTTTAAATGTTTTTTAAAGGAAAATCTTAATCACCATTGTCGTCATCATCATTCTCATCGTCGTCATCATCATTCTCATCATCGTCGTCGTCATCGTCAATATCATCGTCTTCGGTTTTTCCTCTTTGTGTGCTTGTGTGTGTGTGTTTGTGTTTGTGTGTGTGTGTGTGCATTACACACAGACATGCATTCAATCGTTTGTATATGAACGTTTATCAAAATGCTTTCCTAATCATCACCGATACACATCAACGGGAGGTTATTTTTCCACTCATTCAAGGTTCCATGAAATATAACTTTCAGTTCCGTCAAAAAATGTCTGCTTTGTTGTTGCTGTTGATGTTGTTGTTGATGTAGTAGTGGTAGTAGTTGTTGTTGTTAATGCTATCATCATTAATGTCATTGTGGTCGATGTATGTTGATGTAGCTGGTGTTACTGTTGTTGATGATGATGTTGTTGTTGATGTAGTAGCGATAATAGTTGTTGTTGTTAACGTTATCATCATTAATATCATTGTGGTTGATGTATGTTAATGGGTTTTTGTTGTCAATTGTTTTTATTGATATTTCGTTATTTTCTTAATATTATTATTATTATTGTTTTTATTATTATTATTATTATTATTACTGTTGTTGTTTTTAATTTCAGCAGCGTTTTCTTGCCTTTTCGTTAAAGAAAGTGTTGATGGCTTTGATGACAATGATAAATAACAAGGAATAATAACATTAATATTATTAACAATGATAATAACATAATAATAATAATAATAACAATAATAACAATAATTTTGCCAATGTGACCACGCCGACATCATCTTTATGGCTTTTTTTTTATTTCTATTGTTAGTTTTTGGGGTCGTTTCTTATTATTATTGTTGTTATTATTGTTGATACACATATTTTTGTTGTTGTTGTTAAATTTGTTATTGACATTGTCCAGCCTTTTCTCACATTATCCGTCTTACATAAAAATGAAAAAAATGAGTGAATGAAAAAATTAAAAAAAAAACTGGAAAACAGATAAAGGAATTAATGGGTGAATGAACGAATGAAAGAACGAGTGAATAAAGAAATGAAGGAAGTTTAAAATTGTGCTAGATGTTATCTTTATTGTTTATTTCCTTAAACTTTTGTTATGCATTTTATTTTGTCTGTTCAAGAGATGAACCACACGCATACATACGTACATACATACTCTCGTTTGTTCATTTTATTTTTTTTTTTCATTTTTTCAACTCAATAAATCATCCTTCTATCTTCAATCACTCATTTGCATGTTCATCCATTTATTTCCTATTTTGATCAATCTGTCAATAATTTACTAAGTCACTCCATTATTACTGCATTCTGTCATTCGTTCGTTAACTGGTTCACCCTTCTATCGTCAGATTATAACTGGAAACAACAAACAACATCACAAACGAAGGCAGGCACACACATGCACACACACATGCACACACACACGCACACACACATTCACCTACACTCACACACAACGCATGCACTTCAAACAAACCCAAACAAACCTGATCGACGCATTAATTTAGCGTAACAAACAACGCGTTAATACAATTAAAGAAATACACTCCGCGCACTCCAATCCAACGCACTTTGGTGCACTCGTACCTCCTTGATCACGTGATGTGTTTGCTTGTTAGTACAGATGTACTTAGAGCACTTGTTAGCTTTATTATCACGTACATGTGTATGTTTGTAAGTGTGTATGTTTGCCTTATTAGTATGCTATTGTATTACTGCTGCATATTCCAAAATGAAAAAAATCCTCACCAACAGTAAAATCAGAATATCAAAAAATCAAAAAATGGTTGAGTGTAACATTTTTCCTGTGCTAACTAACTTACGGCTCTGAATTCTGGACAATTTTTGAAAAAATAGAAAAAGGACCTCTCATACTTCGAATGAGGATGTATAAAAGCAGTCCGGTTATGAGAAGAGGAAATTACTACAGATAACCCGACGGGGGCAGTTAAAGTTTTTTAGTCACATCGTGCGGAAGGAAAGAATGGAAAATCTAACAACTACTGGAAAGATTGCAGGGAGAAGAGATCGTGGTCAACAACGAATAACATTCGTGAAGTCCTTGTGTCAGTTTTTGAATATCACCACATTTCAACTGCTACAACGTGTTAAAGATCGGATTTTGTGGAGGTCGATGGTCTCAAATGTCCTAAACGGATGAGGCACAAGAAAGAAGGAAGAAGGATTGTATCTGTATATAGGAATATAAAATGTGCATTTCGTACTTGAAGGCATTAATCATTCTTGTTTTTCTAATTAAATTTGTTGACATTTACAAAAATTATTTCAAAAGGTTAACAAACGCCATCTGTTTTCTCTATTTAAACTTCATTTCAACTATTTTTTTGATTAAATTTAATTCAAAACCTGTTTTAAAATGTTAACTTTTGTGCTAAAATCTTTACATACATAGATCCATATATGCACACGCACAAACACATGCAGACACAAACACAGAAAGACACGTACACACACACACGCATGCAGAGCCTCCCATGACAAGAATGCTGTTGCAAACGCACCCTCAACTTGACATACTTAGAGAAGAAGAGTCAACGTCACTCAACAATTCCGCCGAGTTGACCCACTTATTTGGACCGGAACTGAAGTCCTTAAATAGGTCACCTTTAACCTTGTTAATCTTAATGAATTATTCGTTGATCATTAGTTAATCATCGCTTGTTAATCCTAATAATGTAACTAGGTCATCTGTAGATTGACCTAAATAAATTTTTCATGACGTCACTGAACGAAGAAGCGGGTAGATGATGCACAATGAATGGAAAGAAGTAAATAATTACATTATTATTATTATTGCGATACTTTATTCAGGTCACGTGCTTCCTCTGACGTCATCGAGAATGCATTCGCATACTTGGACCACAATCATCAGCGGTTTAAGCAGCAGCAGCAGCAACATTCGTCACCACCACAACAACACCCACAGCCACAGCAACCACAACAACAACCACAAGAGCCACAGCAATTACTTGCCGTCGTTAAAGATAGACATAGAAAAAACAACGTCTTCTCAACAATGTTTAGCAATTACAAATCGAAAAAGGTGACTTGATGATGACAACGATGATGATGATGATGATGTTGTTGTTGGTGTGATGATGATGACGACGACGATGATGATGTTGGTGGTGGTGATGTGACGATAACAACGTTATTGATGACGATGTTAATGCTGTTCTTTTGATGTTATTGATTATATTTTTCGAAAAATGATGACGCGATGTTGTTGTTTAACATACTGGTGGTGATGTTATTGACGAAGATGATGAAGAAGATGATGTTTTTACGTTTGGCGATGAAGTTGAGTAGGACAGTGAAAATGATATTGATGTTGTTGACAATGATGATGTTGATGATGTATTATTTGTTGCTGTTGTTGTTGATAATGATGTTGATGTTGTTGTTGTTGATGGTGATGATGTTGTTGTTGATGATGATGATGACGTTTTTTTGTCACACAAAAATTGTAGATCACAAAAATTGAAGAAATATTAATTTACCGATAGATGATGAAGAAGAAAACATTCGCTAGCGATAATGAACAATATCCCAAAATAAAATCTGATTTAAAAAGTGTTTAAAAGTAAAATAACGAATTACCAAAAATAACGAATAAATGGCTCGATAAATATCGTAAATAACGCAAAAAATGTCATATTTATGGATTAGTAAATGGAACTGCAAATGCAACTTGATGTAATAGTAACTTTTTTATAAGTAATTATGCAGTATATGTGTGCCGTCATGTATGTGTGTGTATATGTGCGTGTATATGTCTGTGTGTGTTTTTGTGTTGTTTTCATTTATACATTTGTAATACGAAAAACCGTCTGTGAACATGGCAGTTATTCAATACATAGGTAAAATAACACATATGAATTCTACACGCACACACACACACACACAAAATTATACACACACATATACTAAAACTCACACACCCATACGCACACATACAAACACATATAGACGCAAACTAATATATATATATATATATATATATATATATTTATATATATATATATATATACAAACCAATATATACATATACAATATTTAATGAAGGTGTCTGCATTTTTATAACTCCGATTGTTTTCATTGTTATAATTTTAGTTCTCGCCAAAAAATTTAAATTCATGTTCATTCACTCCCAATCATCACTCCTACACTCCGATTGTTTGTTTATGTGAGTCATTTTTTTCTCTATGTCTTGTTTTATTGCGTTGCTACGATTTTCAAATTTCCGTGTTCTATGGTTTATACTTGAGTTTTTTTTAAACTTCTTGTGAACATGATTCGTAATATTTTAGTTACTAATCTTCAAAGAAAACCTTCTATCGAAATCGACATCATCGTCATCATCCTTATAATTATCATCATCATCATCAGCGTTATCATCATCGTCGTCCTCATCATCACAACCACCATCGTTATAATCACCATTATGATTGTGAAAGTATTCAATAATTGTCTCAAGTATTTTTACAATTATAACTTTTTAAGAAGAAATTATACTAAAAATATTTTTATGAAATATTTTATGGTATTAAGATTTCAAAGTAATCATAAAATGAAATATTTAAGTTTTGTGTGTGCGTGCGTGTTTGTGTAAGTTTGTTTGTGTGTGTGTGTGTGTGAGAGAGAGAGAAAGTGTGTGTGAGAGTGTGTGTGTTTCTGTGTGTGTGTAAGAAAACATGTGGCAGCAAAACAGATGGGTGTATATAAGCCAAAATATACATAGCATAACATTACGTGGAACATAATTTTCCACTGGAGTGTTTTCTCAAAGGTCAGAGAACTTGAATTAAATTTTCTTGAAAAACGAGAATGTTGTTGTTACTGTTGTATCATTGTTGTTTGTTTGTTTGTTGTTGTTGTTGTTCTGTTGTTGTTGTTTTGTTGTTGTTGCTCTGTTGTTGTTGTTTTGTTGTTGTTGTTTTGTTGGTTCTTGTGTTTGTGTGGTATTTAATGTGGTATTGTGTTGTTGTATTTGTTGATTTGTTGTTGTATAATTTATGTAGTATTTGATGTATTCTTGAATTTAACGTACAACGGTCACGTCCGTACTAGAAATACACCTTGTACTCAATCGACTCTCAAGATGAGGATAATGATAATTATAATTGACAGCCAATAATTTAATTTGATGTTTATTATTATTGTAATTATTTATTACTATTACTATTATTATTATTAATATTATTTTAAAATAATTTTTCCATTTGTTAACGATGATAATCAGATTCTTTCGTTCTTGGCTGGTACCGACACTCTTTTTTTCATTTTCCGTAATATATTAACTGTTACAATTTTCACTTATTAATATTATTTTGTTATAATTATTAATTTATTATTATTATTAAAATAATAATAAATATTATTATTGTTATTTTTTTTATTAAACCGTTATTATTATTATTATGTTGAAAGTCATTATTCAATGGCACCTGTAGAGGGAACAAACAGATGTGCGAATGATGTGTGTGTTTGTGTATGTGATGTGATGTGTGTGTGATGTGTGTGTGTGATGTGTGATGTGTGTGTGATGTGTAAGTGTGTGTTCAGGATTTTTCAAAGTTTAACTCTGGTTAGACCTGTGACATTTATTTCGCGTAGAATTTTTGTAACTGAATAAAATTTCGTTTAGTATGTTTTTATGTGTGTGTACGTGTGTTTGTGTGTGTATGTGTGTGTATTTTTGTATGTGTGTGTGTATTTGTGTGTGTGTGTGTGTGTGTATGACCTTTCCATTTCTACATTATGAAAGAAACAGTGAATTTTTGCACCAGCAATTTTCTCTCCCAACAAGCCGATATCAGACGCCCGAAACTGATTATTAAGCTCTATAGAAATGCCTCCATAGTCGTCATCAAAATCGTCATTGTCGCCATCTTTATCATTAATATTTATTTTAGAAATATACATTTAATATCACAAATACAAAAATAAAACAACATAATGCTTAAATCATAACCGGAGCCAAAGTTAATAAACATAAAAAAACATTTAAACTTAGGTTTATCTTATCTTTATCTTAGGTTTGATAACCTATCTTTATCCATCAATCAAAAACTCATATTCCGACGACATACACTCCTTCTTACACTCTTATACACTCTTTTAAACGCTCCAAAATATTTCAAACATTCTACTATACAGCCACATATTTTTTTCAAAATCACACTCCGATACACACCTCTCTATTATAAACACCAAGATATTATTCCTTACACTCGGCACAGACAAAACATCCGCATGTAATTAATTTTTTCCTCTGAAAGTTTCTCAAAAACATTGTATCTTTCTCCCAACACGTATAAACATGTACATAAATAATATCATCGTAAACACACACACAAACACACACACACACACTCGCACACACACACACAAACAAACAAACAAATAAA